CGGCCTTCACGGGCCCTTCGGGCAGCAACAGGTACTTGTCGTAGTCCGCCAGCGCCGGAATCCCATTGAGGGCATCGAGCGTGAAGGGAAGCACCTCGATCAACAGATCCGGATGGTGCCGATCGAGGAGCGGCGCCATCGCCGACAGCAGCGTCGGCTCGAAACCTTCGGCATCGATCTTGATGAGCGCCCGTCCGGCCGGCGAAAGCCAGCGCGCCAGTTCCGGCGCCGCCACTACGACGGCGATTGTTTCGTCGATGCGATCGGTGAAATTCTCCGAGAATTCGCGCAGCAGCGAGCCGTTGGTTAGATGCTGCCGGGGCTCGAAGAAAGGCTGCAGGCCCGAATGCTCGCCCACAGCCGCCTGAAACGCCGCAACGTGACGAGTCCCGTTGGCCGCGAGGTTGGCGAGCAACCGCCGGTAGGCCTCAGCGGAGGGTTCGAACGCCACGATCCTGCGCTCCCTCCCTTCCGGCAATGCCGGCGCATCCTTCATCAGTGCATCGAGGAACACGGTGTAGAGCCCGGCATTGGCGCCGATCTCGATCACCAGGTCGTAAGTCGCCCCGACATTGTCCTCGAGCCAGCACATCACCGGGACTTCGTATTCGAGCGCGGAGAGAAACAACGCCTCCTGATCGAACTCGTCCCAATGCGGTATCAGGGCGATCCGGGTGCGGGCGCCCACGCGCACGCGACGCGGCGCGAAAGCGAAGTCAGGCCATTGGTGGCCGTAGCTGCAGATCGCATTGCGAACCCGTCGCTGTGCCGGCACCGGCAGCAAGCTGCGGCTGATCCAGGAAATACATGTGATATAGGCCGAGGACAGGCTCCTCGGTCCTCGCGACACTGCGCGATGGACCCGGTTCGCCAAAGCACCGATCAACTGTTGGTCCTCCCGCCTCGATATTGCATCAGGCCCGCCGCCAGCAAAAGCCGAAAGCGTGATGGGCGAGAGCCGGCCAGACGGCGAGGTCGCGTACAGTCTGCATTCAACCCTGCCGGCAGAAAGGCTTGTCCAGCGTTTGGCCGCAAAGGACGTCAGACCTTCACCCCGGACGCCCGTAATTCTTCCATGAAGCCAAGGACGAGCTGGACGACGACCCCGGCTTCCACTGGCATCTTCCGGAAGACGCTTGCGGGAACGATCATGCCATCGTGGCCGACCCGTATGCACATGCCTTGCCTGATGAGCTTCCCGGCATGTCGCCGGACGGTCTCATAAGGAAACTTCATCGAATTGGAGATCGCCAATGATGCTGACCGGCCGGCGATCCGAAGTCGGGCAGTACGTCGCGATTGGCGCCTGGCGTGGTGTTCGTGATGTGCTTGACGTTGGCGGCCCGGATTGCAGTAAACACCAAGACCGGTCATGAGGTCGCCGTGGAAGAAGCCCCGCAGGGCTTTCATCGAGGCCAGCAGAACCCGGATCGACGCCAGGACGACGCTGGTCTGCTCCTTGCTGAGGGTGCGCGCGCTGTGGGACGACGATCGGGGCGGCCTGTAGTGTCCGACCTTGATCCGCCTCAACCCATCGAGCATGCGGACCGCTTCCAGATAGATCTTGCGCAGCATTGCGTTCGTGCGCTCGGCTCGTCGTATCGAAGGGTCCAAACATATGCCGCCATCCTCCGCATGGCAGGTGCCTTTCCGGACAAGCTTGCGAACCTGGCGTCGTACGGTCTCGAACGGAATGTCCAGCCGCCGCGCCAGTTCGCGAATCCCCATGGGTTCGCTCCCTCCTCCCTCGGCAAGCCCCTCGCCCAGCAACGTCATGACGATCATGCCGCCCAGGATGTCCTCCTGAATCTGGCCGACCACTTCGAAACCACGCAGGAAGAACTCGGTCGATATTCTCCCGATCGTATAAACCTCGGGATGTAGTGCCGCATCGCTCGCCCGGACCACTTTTCCGGCTCCCCCTGATTTTCATCTTTGTATCGCACGCTGACCCATTTTGGTGAATTTCCGTATTGCCTCATTCCATGTTCTGCCCATAGCCTCATGTCGGTTCGGGGGAATCGAGGGCTTGCTTCCAAAGAGGATCCATCGGGGTCTGCTCGACTTCGCCGGGGAATACACGAACGCAGGCTTGAGCCTGTAACAAGGCGGCTTGGAGCTGAGACCAGATGGCTTCCTTCATTGCGACGAACACGAGCACGACCACCGGAAACGGTTTCGTGTTCCCCGGCACGGATGACGAACTCTTCGTTCCTCTGAACGTCTACATCCAGGCGACCGGTGCGGGCTTCGTCGGCGTGACCGGGCCGGGCGGCGGAACCGTCCGGAACAACGGCCAGATCCTCGGATACGATGCCGGCATCTCGCTGGGCGCCGCCGACCAGACCACCACCATCCTGAACTTCGCCGCTGGCACCATCAGCTCGGGCAACGGCGCGGCCATCGTCGCCGTCGCTA